TGGTTATGTGGCTGGACATCCACGGAGTCAGCCACTTCCCTAAAACTCACGCTGGGCACATGTGCAAGTATGCCCAAAATCCCGAGAGGGGAATGGAAGAGAAGGGATTGTAGTAGCCATCACCCTGGGTGTGTGTGTGTGTGTGTAAATTCTTGCTTTCTGTCTCTCTGTCTCTGTCTCTCTGGCTAGCACACATGCCCTATAGCAAAAATCTCTCTCAGTAAGAAAGTAAGCAAATAAATAAATAAATAAAAATAAAGATGAGGGAGTCCCTTTGCATGAAACAATTCCATATTTTAGCTGTGGTGTGGATATAAGAATATATGCATACAATAAAATGTCACAAAACTTTATATGCACACCCACAGACACAAAGAATATGTTAAAAAACTGATGAAATGCAACTAAAATATGTAGTTCAGTTTATCTTACTCTGCCAATATGTGTGTGTGTATGTGTATGAAATATGTAATTACATAAATATTACATGTACAGTTCTTAGAATAGAACCTGGCTTGTAGTGAATGCTTCATAAGTGGCTGCTATATGAGGTTTTTATTTTTTTTCCCAAAAAATAGTCTGTTTTCAGGCTTTTAATATCTTTCACATTTTTTTTCTTAACTTGAACAAATTAGCTAGTACTTTTTAACTCTGTGTGTCATATGTTATTGCGTGTCACCATGTAAGAACTTACACAAATCCCTCTGTATTTCACATTTAAATATTCAGGCTTGTAATATATTTCACATTTTTTTTCTTGAACAAATTAGCTAGTACTTTTTAACTCTGTGTGTGTCATATGTTATTGCGTGTCACCATGTAAGAACTTACACAAATCCCTCTGTATTTCACATTTAAATATTCATGTGCATGCCAAGCAGTGCTTATACAAGATGGATTCTCTCTACCTCTGAGTTTCAGTTCTAGAATTATAACTTTTTTAAATGCCTAAGTTTAAACTTTTCAAATAAATGTTCACAATTCGAATTTTATTAAGAGCGTAAAGAATTTGCACTTATTGTGGGATTGTCTTGTGCATTTTAAATATTGCGATTTTAAAATATGTGTATATAGCCCTGGCATTGAGCTACACAACTAACATTTTCCGTATGTGCTGACTGTGTGAAATCTGCTTTTATGATGGAGTTGTTATATTTTGAAGAACATGCTTTGAATCATTTATAAGCCTGTGTAATAACAAGCTATATCATAGCAGGATTTACTGGACTTTTACTGCCAGCTAAACAGCCAGCCAGCACTTATCCATCAATCTGTAGCATGGATGAAGTGCTGGACTGAACAAAAGAGAAGCATGAGGCATGCAAGTCCAGACTCTGGCATATGACATACCTGGGTTCAAATCCTAGGACGTAACTTATCAAGTATGTGATTTATGCAAATTATCCAGCTCCCCCAAGCTTCCATTTCTTCTCCTATATAAGATAAGCCCAGTATAATGATTAACCTCATAAATTACAGTAAGTTAGAGGACTTACTCCAGAACTGAGCACATATAAAATACTCAATAAATGCTTATTATTATTACCATGTATAATGCAATTATTTGGGAAAAACAGGAATTAAAGGTTTCATGAGAATGAGATAAATTAATATAAAATGATATAGTCTATACATCTCTATAGAAGCTCCTGTTTCAGGGTACTAATGGGATCTTTTCATTACATTTCACAAGCAATTAGGAGCTTTCTTGCAGTCATGGAGGACTTTAATATTCTGATTGACCTACTATGTACAGAAGGAGATTCACAATTTATTTACTCACTATTGCAGTCTGACCACTGTGCCAAAAAGCTCATTATGAGCAAAATGTAGTCAAGAGAAGAAGATAGTGGCCTGGGGTGAAGTTGGTGAATAGGGATCTCAGTAGATTGGCATGGACACGTTATGGCTGGATAGTTCATGAAGGAAATGCTCAGTATGAAAAAGATAAAGGTAACATGTATTATTTATAGTGCTATTTTGAATTTCTAATACACAGAGATTAAAGCCAATCTTCGTACACACACATGCACACGGGATCTTCAAAAAAGTTCATAGAAAATGCATATTGTGAGAAAATTATTTCAAAACTTTTTCCACAAAATAAACTTATATTTTAATGCTATTTTCCCACAAACTTGGCTCCTTAGATATGTTTACAAATGTGTATATATATATA